ACTCCTCTGAGGTATGTCACTCTGAAGCAATAACAACTCTCTTTCCCTTAAGTGAACAACACCAGCTTAAAGAATCTGATCTTGTGAAGTTCCTCAAAGTGATCCCCAACAGAGCCCTTTGCAAAAACCTTATTTTCCCCTGTTCCTACTTTGGCATCCTCTTGCAATGTTGGTAGAGTATTCTCTTTCTGCTGCTGGTATATGCCTCCAACTTCTCCTTTTATGATGCACCTACAATGTTTCAGCCTCACCTTTATAACACCCCCAAGGGCAGGCAAGAAATTAAAAGTTTCTTACCCACCTCTCCTTCTGAGTTTTTTGCCAGTCTTTTCCTGGGACATACTTTTCACATCCTCTCTTCTTCCTGCTCAAGATCTTCTTTATTATTACACTATCTACAATCCTGACTTACTCATGTATGAATGATATTTTCCCCCTGAAATGTTCATTCACTTGTTACTACATTCTTCTTGATTTTCTCTTTTATATTTTTTGACTCTCAGAATCTCCAGCCCCTTAAAACTTTGTTCTCAATGTTTCTCAGAAGTGTAAGGTGTTTGTTTTTTAAGAAAATCAAGCAAAAATCCTTCCCCATCCTACATTCCTGGCTTTGTTTAGCCCTAATCACATAAAAACACACATTTCATTTCTTATTCTTTACTATTATCTGAAAGTTCTTAATTTTCTTCTGTTGAAACACTTTTCGTAATGAATGTGCTGCTCAACTCTGGATTCTGAGGAAGGAATTACTTGAATTGTTCCTTTTGGTTAAATATCCAATTATTCTTCCCTGATTCCTTTGTTTTGTATCATACAGTTTTGGGTAATATACATTTTTGTGAGGTAGCATCAATCTTTGTTGCTTTCTGGGACAAAATGTTACAATTTTTCCTTTGATTTTTTTAAAAAACAAAGAGTAATCTTATGTTGTTGTTATTGTTGCTCCTTTAAATGTGAGCTTCTTTTTTTTACCTTGTTGCCTACAAAATTTGTTGTTTCATATTGTCATTCTAAAGTCTGACTATGCTGTTTCTTGATGATTTCAACCTCAGGTTCCTTTCTCATACCAGTCTTCCCTTGCTTCTTGAATTTTTCATATTGTTTCTTACAGCACAGCAACGGCCGTTTATAATCATTTATCACAATTTGTTTAAGAATTTCCTAATCGTGGGGCAGCTAGGTGGTGCAGTGGATAGAGCACCAGCCCTGAATTCAGGAGGACATGAGTTCAAATCCGACCTCAGACACATAACACTTACTAGCTGTGTGACCCTGGGCAAGTCACTTAACCCCATTGCCTAGACAAAAAAAAAAAGAATTTTCTAATCGATGGGTATCTACTTCTACTTCAGTTCTGTGCTACCACAAAAGTGATGCTTTAAAGATTCTGAGATATAAGGGAAGTTTCTTTTTTTGTTATTTACTTCATTAGTTTCAATACTGAGGATTAAATTCTAAATTCAGTACCAGTGTATTGTCACATCATTAATACAAATTAAGTCAATATGTAGTTTCAGTAATCCAAAAAATTGATATTCAAAATGATGACCTAGAGGCACCATTAGATTCCAGAATACTTAAAGAAAGCTCAAAGATTAAATGCATTCTGAATAGTTTCATTTTTAACGTATTTTATTGGATTCTAATTCCCTGAAAACTGATCATCCAAGTTTATTGCATTGCAAACTCATAGAATTGTAGAACTACAAATTAGAAAGAACTTAGAAGTCCTACAATATCCCCCTAATGAGCAGTCACTGAGTGGATTCATTCCATTTTGAACAACTCTAATTGTCAGCTTTCCTTTATTCTAACCTATTCTATCCATCCCTATAGCATCTGCCCATTGCCCCTAGTTCTGCCCTCTGCTCCAGATGGGAAAGGCTAATTTCTCTCCCACATGAAATGGCTGGGGAGATGAAGATATGCCACAATAATAAGGCAAGTACATAGCACGAAAAAACAGTGGCTTCAGCAAGAACATGCTACGATGAACTTTTCTGTCAGGATCACTATGCCAGTAAATCAGAGGAATGACACCTAGCAAAAAATATACCCAAATTTCAGCAAAGACATTAATAAAGGCCCTCATGATATCTCTTAGACAATATCAAGAGATTTGGGCTAGATGACAATACACTGAATTCAGAAATAATTGAATGAATAATATATTACCAAATGCACAGATTAATTATTATTATATTATAAACCTAGAGAGAGGGGGCAGGTAGGTAGTGCAATGGATAGAGTGCTGGGTCTGGAGTCAGGAAGTCTCATCTTCCTGAGTTCAGATATGTCCTCAGAAACTTCTTAGCTGTGTGACCTTAGGTAAGTCACTTAACCCTGTATACCTCAGTTTCCTCATCTGTAAGATGAGCTGCAGGAAGAAATGGAAAACTACTCCAGTATCTTTGCCAAGAAAACCCCAAATGGAGAATTTAATTCTGATCTTTTTCTAGAGGCAATAAATATATTTAATCTAAGTCATGTCAAGTGTTTGGAGTAAATGTAATAATACATTATGTTCCTTTAAATAATAGATGTAAATGCTAGATGTTGGAGAGGAGCATATTTGGGAAATCTTGGTACAGTAGATGTTACTGAAAATGTGGCCCATTCTAGGGAAGTACCTGCATTTGCTGGCATGAGTCACAGTTCATGTGTACTAAGCATGAGGGTGGAAATGAAAACTGGAACTTCCTTGTAAATTTAATTTGGTAATAAAAATGGTGTTATGGAGAAAAAAAAAAAGAAAACCCCAAATGGAGTCACAAAGAGTTGGACATGAGTAAAAATGACTGAACAACAAAAACCTAAAGAGAAGACTTTAACACAATCCCCTAGGAATCTATGCTGTTCAACAACATTATCTAAGACTTGAATGAAGGCATAGATAATATGCTTATCAAATTTGCAGATGATGCAAAAGTGGAAAGACTATTTTGGACAACAAAATTGGGATCCAAGGAATAAAGAAAGGACCAAATCTATTTAAAATGGCACTTAAGTGCCAAGATAAAACAGAACCCCAGAGGGTCAGATTTGGAAAAGGACTTGAAGAAGAATTCTCTCCCCACCATAACGGACCAGGGATCCTGAAGACACACCTGAGGGCCCCCAAGACAGCCGCACTCCACCTGTGGATGCTCTTCCTCATCCCAAGTCCATATCTCTTATATGGCGACTTCACAAAACTGCCTCACAGAAACAGGCTCTTCTCCCTCTAATCCTCTTAGATTCCCTTCATCAGCTGAGTGGAGAAGTGAATAAAGCTCCAAACTTATAATCAGTAAGGCCTGAGTTCTAACCCTGCCTCAGACAATCCTCAGCTATGAGACCCTGCACAAGTCACTTACCTCTCTGCCTCAGTTTCCTCATCTGTAAAATGAGGGATAATAATAGCACCTACCTTACAGAGTTGTGGTGAGGATCAAATAAGTTACCATGTGTAAAGCACTCTTCAAGCACTATATAAATGCTAGCTATTATTATCATTATTATCTAAGTCTTTTACTCCCAAATTCACACATTTAAATATATCATTCACTATGCCAGGAGAGTCCTTCAATATTTCAAATTCCAATTCCTTAATTGAATAGATCACATCATACCTTAATTTACCATAGTCTCTGGCAAAATAGGTGTGAATATTAAATGATAAAATTATATAAATACTTCCTCCTGAGCCAGAGTCATGCTATTATAACATCTCTTAATTTGCTATAGAATTCCTATTTTAATCAATACCACAAAGACTATAAATTTATCCTTCAGAATGAGAAGGACCCACAACCATTTTATTGATCTATATTCAATTCAATTCAACAACAATTCAACCTACTATATACAAGAAACTGTGCCGACCAGAGAGGATGCAAGCCTGAAAAAGAATAGTTCCTGCCTTCCGACAGGTGACACAGATAAATAATAGAAGGTCATGGGATCAAAAATCCATAGCTGGAAGGTACTTCAAAGGCCAGGATACTCTACACAGGGAGAATGCCTTAACTAGGGTGACCAGTCAAGGGTTCCCAGAGGAGGGGACAATTAAGCGAATCATCAAGGAACCTCAGGATTCTAAGAGGAGGAAGTGAGGAGGCACATTCTGGACACGGGGAAAGTCTGTGAAGAGAGGGGGACAGGAGATGGAGCAGCAAGCCAAGGAGATAGCTCACCCATCAATTTGGCTGAAACACAGAATAATCAAAGAGAAGAAACAAGTGATGTCTGGAAACATAGGTTGGAGTCAGGTTTTGAATGCCTTTAAATGCCTGAAGCATTTGAATTTTTTCCTCTACATTCAGAAAGAAACCACTGACGACTTCTGGGAATGGACACGCCATGATCAGTCCTGTGCTTGAGGATGTTAATTTGGCAACTTTGGTGGGATGGATTAGAGACCCAAATGATCAATTAGGAGCCTGGATGATAAGGAACTTAGTACGGTACAGTGTCAGTGGAGAAAAGACAGCAGATGAAAAACATGTGCAAGTAAAATCAACACCTGGCAGCCCAATGTATTACCAACAGACAATTACTATGGCATAATAATGTCAGTCAGACACAAGCAATAAAACATACATGAATTGAGTACATACATGATCATATGAATAGAGTACATATTTCCAAAGGATAATTTTCAAATAATACCATTTCTAATTATCAAATTTATGTCATTACCAAAAGAAAATGTATCAGGATATCACTTAATTGCATTCTTACAATAGGAAATTCCAGGTGACTATTTTATCTTTTAAGTACCATATTCCTAAGTATATCCCTTACTTTAATACTTAGCTGCATCTACCTCAATATTGAAGGCCTTTCTCTGGATCTTCTAATTGAAATGAAAAAGAGACAGCTTTGGGGAAGAATCTGGAAAACTTTTCAAAACATCAGAAAGAAATTATTCACAGGGAACCTTTTCCCTATGAATCGGGAAACAACCTGCACAATGGTCTAAGGAGTGCGTTAAGAATGGAAAAAGTATTTCTCATTACCTGTTTTCGAAGTGACAAGCTGCAGAACAAGGGGTCGTCTTGTTACAATGCCTGACCCTCGAGGAAGAAAGTCCCTAAAGAAAAAGAATACATGTTAGGGCATTAGAGTAATTGTGATCACCTAAAACTTCCATAGAAACATCTCTAGCAATAGAATTCTTAGCCTTTTTTCCCTCTTATACCACATATAACTGAAAGGCAGACAAGCAGGCAGGGCAGTGCAGTGCAGAGAAAACTAGTGTAAGAGTCAGGAAAACCTGTGTTCTAGTCGTGGCTGGGCAGAGCCCTTCACCTCTTGAGACCTCAGGAAAGTAATTACCAATTGCAGAAAATGTATCCACTTGCGTTGACAGAGGAAGCTGTTCCCAGCAAGAACTCCCTACACTAAGGTAGTCACAATCCAGTCAAAAAGAGAAACCACAGATCCCACCTAAGAAAAACTTGTAGGTACCCTCTTTCCAAAGTAATCAGAACTCAGCACTATTGTACTTCTGTAGTCACGACAACTAAATCCAAATAGCAGATGCTTCTGTTTAACTAAAATCATCAGAAATGGGATATTCTAGTTCATTGTCCAATAGTCATAGTCCATAGTACATAATAAAATGCATTACTGGTCACAGACTTAGAAAACAAAATACACAGCACAGATGTCAGCATTTCACAATGCCTCAGCTCATGACTTTGAACATAGGTTGACATTGTAAAGCAACATAGATATAGGCATTGTAGGAAGCTGGGCTGAATCTGTGTCGTCATGTTCTGAAAGTTGCTTTTTACGAAATAAAAAATAACCCCACGACACTGGCTTGCTTGTTTGTAATTTCATTTTTTTTAAACAACAAAACCAGAGTCCAAGGGGATGGAGGAATCTAACTTGAGTTTTTCAGTTGCCTGCATTCTAGATACATGGAAATTTACTATCATAGTTAATATTTGTTGAATAGCATTATGTAATCCACATGATAGCTAGACTGTAAAAATATACAATTATGTCTGCAGTGCAGCATAAATCACTTCTGATTCTGCAAGGAAAAACTGAAATTCAAGGTGTACCTATGGCACAATATTCAATACACTGAGCAGATTATGTACTTGAGTTTTTAGTAGGGATATTTAAAATCTGGGGACATCATTCAAAGGAGATTTTACCTGAAGTAACAATCTGCTAATGTGCTCAGTGACCCGATGGGTAATATGGTGACAGGGATCAGAATCTCCACAAGACACTCAGCAGGACCTGCTTACAGCAGGATACAATCATGGGACAGAAGAAAAAGTCCAGGATCTGGGGCCAGGGTATCTGGGTTTAGTTCTATCTGTGTGACCTTACTCAGTGTCTTCAGTGAAATTAGGTGATTCATTTCATCAAGTATTTATTAAGTAAACATGAACTACCTGCCAAGAAGTATGCTAGGTAGATACAAAGACAAAAATGAGACAGCCCCTGCTCTCAAGGATCTTTCATTCTACCTGATAGGAAAAAATGCACACAGTTAAGATGCAACACTAAAAATCGGGGACTCAGTAAAGGTAGCCCTTTGATGAGTCTGGGAAGGAACAAACATTCCAGGAAGCAGGAGACCATTGCAGACATGGAGAATAAGATATGAAAAGGTACAGACTAGGGGGAAGGGGGTGGTGATGCTCTGAGCCAAGAACAGAAAATAAAACAATTTGGCTGGAATGTAGCATTGTGAAGGTTAGTGAGGTTTAAGCATCTTGGAAAAAAACAGCTGGAACAAGAGTATAAAGCCCTTTAAAAGTCAGACAGAGACGTTTTGACTGTACCCTGGATGCTAAGGGAAACCACTGAAGCTTAGGTTTTTCGGTTTGTTTTATTTGGGGGTTTGGGGACACTTTAGGAATATCAATTTGCCATCTGTGTAGAGGATGGATTGGATCAGGGAAAGATTTGAGGCAGGCAGCACAATTAGGAGAATACTGAAATAGAAGAGAGGTGATCAGGGCCTGCCTCAACTGAAGTGGTTGAGAAGTGAGTGAAGAGAAAGAAAAGGACAAATGGGGAGATTTTGTGGCAGTAAAATTCATAAAAATTGGCATTTGGTGTGATATGGGGCAGGGGGAATAAGAGGAGACAAGGATTATGCAAAGACTGAAAACCTGGGTGACTAGAAGGATAGTAGTGCTTTCAAAAGAAATAGGAATGTTAGGAGAGGGGTGCACTTCGGGGGAGGGGAGATGATGAGTTCTGTTTTGCATGTGTTAGGTTTGAAATTTGCAAGGGACATCCAGGTGGAGATATCTAACAGGCAGTTGGAGATGTGGGACTGGATATCAGAAAAGAAATGAGGGCTGTACATGTAGATTTGGGAGTCATCTGCACATAAACGATAGTTAAACCCACAGAAATTGATGTGAGCAGCAAGAGAGATAATGTATGTAGAGAAGAATACTAAACACAGACCCATAAGGTACATATACTCTCACCTAGGGAGAAGGACATGGATGATGGTCCTTCCCAGAAGACAAAGAAGAACAAGGTCACACGGGCAGGAGTACGCCAAGAAGAGGGCTGGGTTATGAAAATCTAGAGAGAGAGGAGTTTCCAGATTGTGGAGGATGGCAGTCACTGTCAAATGCTGCAAAGAATAACTCATAAAAGGCCGATATGTTTAGGAACAAAGTAATCATTGGTAAGCTTAGAGATTAATTTCAGTAAAAGTGATGGAGATGAAAGTCAGATGGCCAGGCTAAGAGCTGGGTGAAAAATAAAGAAATAGAAGTTATAGATAGAACCAGCTTTTTCTAGTAGCTCTTTTACCCTTGTCAAATTCTATTTATCCTCCATTAGATGGTAAACTCCTTGAAGGCAGAAATTGCTTTCTTTTTCAGCTTTGTACCCCTTTGCATATTGTAAACAACAAATGTTTGTTGAATGTATTGTATTCTCACTGCTATCAACCCAGTTTAGGCCCTCCTTACTGCCATGACTATTGCAAGTTGCCTCCTGACTGATCTGAATCAATCCTTCCCACTACTAAAACTAAATAAAGAAGTAATCTTAATATACTGATCAAATCATGTTACTCTCCTATTCAAAAGATTGTAGTGGCTCCACTTTTTCAACAAAGTAAAATGTAAATGAGCTGTCTATTTGTTATCCACATGTTTACTCAGTGATAATAAAGATAATAATTGCTGACATTTACATAGCACCTTAAAGTTTGCAAGTACTTTACATATATTATTTCATTTGTTCCTAACAACTCTGAGATATAGGTGCTATTCCTTTTTACAGTTGGGAAAACTGAGAAAAAGAGATGAAGTGGCTTCCCACACAGCTAATGTCTGAGACAGGATTTGAGCTCAAGTTGCAGCATTCTAGCTATCACCTCACTGCCTCTAGTGATACCCCTTAAAGCACTTTATGTGCTTAAATATGGATATATTGACATTTGTTCCAGATCAGTTGCATTCACCATGGGCCTCTTCTCTGCATTATACTTTCCCTAATGACTATAGCTAGTGCTCCAAGATTCACAATCATGAGATGTTGCCAGGAGAACATTTGCATTGAAAAGATGGGTCTTTGCACCTGGGCACAGTCTGGGACCATTACAGCAAGATACAATTTTGGAAGCAGACTCCACTCCTTTCTGCTCCTCCTTTTCAGTTCTGAGTCCAACTCATTACACACATGCAATTCCATCCTAGAGCTATGTATTGATTTACTATCATAGTCTACTACTTAACTGTGGAGCTTGATACGATCAGAACAGAAATCAAGTTAAAACAAGACCATCTAGAAAACTAATACAGTAGTGCTCAAATGGGGGATGCAGTACAATCCACTGGAGGGAACAAAGAAAACACTAAAGCTGAGGAGAGGAGCAGAACAATTTAGAGCACTTGCACCAATACCTGTCTTTGTTATTCTCCTTCCTGCTCCCTGCGCCCAATACAAGCTGCCCTGGACACTCAGTCACATGCATTCTTCTCCAGGCAGACTGGTAGACGGGCTGTAGTCTCATTTTTTAATTTAATTTATTTTATTCTGAACTTAAGAAATAAAACAAGCATTTTTATAACATGGTAGAATAGAAAAAAAGATGATTATACATGAAACTGCAAGTCTATTATGTACAACTTGCTATTTTCAAAAATATATATAATAAAGTTATATATGTAGATATGTATATATATACGTAAAACCATTTTATACATACTTCTAGCTATCAGTTGTTTCTCTGGATGCAGAGAATGTCTTCCTTCATATGTAGTTAATTTGGGTATTTATAATAGTCAAAATGACATAATTACTCAAAGTTGTTCTGAAAACAACATTGTCGTTATTTATACAATGTTCTCTTGGTTCTGCTCATTTCTCTCTTCATTATTTCATGCAAGTCTATTGTGACACTAATTCACTTCTGGTGGAACTGTGAACTGATCCAACCATTTTGGAGAGCAATCTGGAATTATGCCCAAAGAGTTATTAAACTGCCTATACCCTTTGGTCTAGCAATACCACTACTAGACCTGTTTGCAAAGACGATTAAGGAAAAAGAAAGAGAACCTGTGTTCTAAAATAGCAGCTCTCTTTGTGGTGGCAAAGAATTGGAAATTGTGGGGATGCCTATCAATTTGGGAATGGCTGAACAGGTTGTGGTATATGATTGTGATGGAATACTATTGTGCTATAAGAAATTATGAGCTCAATGACCTAAGGCTATAATTTTCCACCCAAACACTTCCCCCAACCATCTTCACTTTATTCCCCACTAGAATATTAGCTGCACACACCTTTTAAATTCTGTAGCCCAATTCTGCACAGCTTTTGCCTACCCATAGTAGGCTCAGACTCTAACAAATACGGGTAGACCCTGCTTTAGGGGCAGTGGGGACCATTCCAGAGCCTTAACCTCAATAAATGATTCATGGTATGTGTGCTCCAAAATCTGGGACAAAACAGATATACCACAAGGAATCTAAAAGCAGGGTGGGCCTCCATAGGACCTGGCAATCAGGCTGGCCCAGGATAAAGGTTAACCTTCCAGAGGCTGAGTTCCTGCTACCTACAGGGGCTCATCTTTATCTACCCTCAAGAGAA